TGTGCTCTTCCGATCTACTACTACCACTTCTACTACTACTGCTACTACTACTACTACTGCTACTGCTACTGCTACTACTACTACTACTACTACTGCTGCTACTACTACTACTACTACTCCTACTGCTACTGCTATTGCTACAACTACTGCTACTGCTACTGCTACTGCTACTGCTAAAGCTAATGCTGCTGCTACTACTACTACTACTACTACTACTACTACTACTACGGCGGCTACGGCTACGGCTACGGCTACTGCTACTGCTACTGCTACTGCCACTGCCACTGCTACTGCTACTACTGCCACTGCTGCTGCTGCTGCTGCTGCTGCTGCTGCTGCTGCTACCACTACCACTACTACTACTACTACTACTACTACTACTACTCGATGGTGTTTTCTGCTTCTGCTGCTGCTACCACCACCACCACCACTGCTGCTGCTGCTGCTGCTAATATTCTACTGCTTCTTCTACTACTCTGCTGCTGCTTGTGCTCTCTCGCTTCCTGCTACTGGAGCTGGCACTACTGTGAAGATACAACTACGACTGCGACGACTACTACTGCTGCTGCAGTTGCTGCTGTTGTATTGCTCCCACTCCTGCCAGTCCACTACAGCTACTGCAACTGCTGTTGTTGCGGTTTACATCGAGGATTCGAACAGCAATGCCATACGGCGATGGCGATTGCCATCACCACGACCACCCACCACGACTACTCCACTTCGACTGCTGCTACTGTTACCGGAACTACTGCTCGAGATTCGCGCACTGTCCCCTCCGCTCCGAGCGAAAGGCCTAGATGAAGCAAGCTCACAACCAGTTTCAACGCTGCATGACAGGCCGTGGTCATACTCCACACCAACTCGGACCATCCGCTTACCGATTCAGGAGTTGTGTGCCTTGGACCTGTTCGAGCAATGCTGGACAAACGAGCGTCAGGTCGATCATGGGCATAGAATTGGAGCTTCTGCAAATGCTGCAGGACTTGCGTCATAAAGTGGACCGACCACCCACAAGCCCCACAGCATCAGCGGCAGTCGGATATCTACATACAGTAGACATATGTACATGTGTATATATATATATGTATATGTATGTAACTCTATATATATATGATATATATATATATGTATATATTTATATATCGCGCAGTGAGTAGTTCCGAACGGCTGATTCCCCTATCCGTCCACGCGCCCCCGAGCAACATCCTTGTTGTAATCTTTGAAGCTTCGATGCTGGCCCACAACCACCAAGTGTGGCCCCGCCAACGGAAAACCCAATGGCTGAGCGATATCTGTGTACGCAGGGTTGTGATGTACCTGTATGCATGTCATGTAAGTCTGTATGTGTGCACGATGCACGTAAGATGTATGTGCATGCGTAAATATGTGCATCCTGGACGCCCAAATAGTATGTGTATATAGCGCACACACACACACATATACATACCCATGTATGTATATACATATATATGTATATATACAGACACACATTGTGTATATATATATATACATATTTTGTGGCATACACAAACACAGAGAGATTTGCATTTCATACGAACATACCTTCACTGTATAGGTTCAGGTGTTCACGTGTTCATGCATGCTCCGGTGGCCATATGCATGCGTGTGTCTATGTGTATGCTCCTAGCGCTGATCGGACAAGTTCCAGCTCGCTGATCATCAAACCCTCTCAACCCCGTAACGGTTGGTCATGGTCTTACTTATTATGTTGGATTACGGTCTTGTCGTTTTTAGTCACTGCCTGCAGCGGAGATCGAACTACGTGGAACCTTGTCTGCCTGGTGCGAGTGTGAGAGTCGATACCGTTAAACTCTCCAGGCCCTAAACCCTCTAAACCCTGTCAAAACACCCTCGAAATCCTAGACCCTATAAGTTATAGCCCCATAAGCCGTAAACCCTCCAGGCGTGGCTTAGTGCTCAACAAGCGGCTCAACACGACTTTCAAGCTCCCGGGCTGGACTGGCCAGGGTTGACTTAGCACTCGGAAGGATTGGTTATACTATCCCCTGGTAGTCCCCACATACTTAGTGAAAGTGTAGTGGAACGAATAGTTAGACTATCCCCCTGATAGTCCCCACATACTTATAGTGTAAGATCCCTCTAGTTCATTTAGCTGGAATGGTCGCCCTTCTGCTGGGCCCTCCTGGACTGCCAGCCGCTGTGGCGTTAAGTCATTGTGAGGGCGCTTGGGCTCTTGCGGAGTACAAAACGAAGGCGAGAGGTTGAGGCACGATTCTACACTGAAGCTAGGCTAATGACAGAGAGGAACTGTTTCCCCCAGTCGTGCTCCATGCTGGCTGCGATGATGAAGCTCGTGATTGGAAGCTAAAGAGTTCATGATTCAACTTCAGCATGCACCAGCACATTGTCCATGATGGATCCACCCTTCTCGGGACACGGGGAGTATGTTGGAGGTCGATCTAATCAAGCTCTTCATTCAACTCCATCTAAAACGTCCTGCAAGGGGCCAACCACAATACAACCTACACCCTCGGAACGTTCCGTTTGCTGTCCAGGCAGCTGCTAGAGCGTGCACAGGATCCTCAGGACTTGCCGTGTAGAAGGGTTCAGGGTTGAGGCCTAAGGGGTTTGGATTTTGGAGAGTTATTCGGGTTTAGTATGACTTTCGGGTTATTTCGAGTTTAGGGATTACGCGAAGTCTTTAGGGACGTAGTTATTTTTGTTGATACGCTTTTTCGAAGGGCCTTGGCTGAAACTGACAAAGGAGTCATCATACAGAAAGCACATAAATCGACATGTCGGTCAATACCTTTCTTGATGTTGCATACATCTACACACACACACACACATATATATATATACATATTTTTTTACGAGCTAAGCTGTGCATGTGTATATGATGTGGGTCATGCATATATATATATATGTATATGTATCTATATATATGTATACACAGAATATATATATATATATATATATATATACAAGTGTCTGTATATATATATATATACATGTGCTATATATATATATATAGTATGTACATACATATATATACATACACGTACACGCGCACACACACACACACGCATATGCATGCACGTATGTAGGTATGTATGTATGTAGGTACGTAGGTATGTATGTATGTATATGTATGTATGTATGTATGTATGTATGTATGTATGTATAGGTATGTAGGTAGGTATGTAGGTAGGTATGTAGGTAGGTATGTATGTATGTACGTGTGTATGTTATGTGTGTATTATATACTGGGTCGCCCAGTAATGTCTTATGCACTCACTCACAGGTATATAAATAGTTGCGTGTGTGTTCGAGTATCGTGCGTGAGCCTGCGATTGCACATGTTCACCTCAAGATGCGTGTCGGTATAATTCATACTCATATTTCTGAACACATATGCTCATGCAATCCACCTGTATGTGTATATATATATATATATATGTGTGTGTGTGTGTGTTTGTGTGATCTTTGCCCCGTGGACATCGTGTTAACCCCCAAACGCCCAAAACAGACGTACCTGAACCATGGCCTCACCAGCAGTGCGAATGCGAACCGAGAGACCTCATCTGGCTGGGTCCGAGTTGCGAGAGCGTAAACGTCCAAAACCAAAAAACCCTAACGCCTCCTGCAAGGACAAGAAGTGGGCCGAAAAACTTAGTGAGATTCCCGCCGCCGCAGAGCTGCGTGTCTTTCGTGGCGGCCCTGCATCTCAGCTCAGTGTTGAGGAAGTACATTAACTTATTTTTCTAACATCCGTCGCCGTCGCGAGGCTAGTAGGATTTGCTTGACTGGAACTGTCCGCAGCGCTTGTGCCACGCAGGTCATTGTCGGAAGCTCACTACAAGCCAATATCGTAGCTTGGCCGAACTTGTGGTTGCAGGGGCTATTCAACAGGTCCAGGTCTAGAAGGTGCTGCCTGGAATACGACGCTTTCCTTGGAAGTGTGTGTTGTGATTCACATCCTTCATAGCGAAATGTGTGGACGTTACCAAGTGCCGACGTGACGCCAGATTGAGAAAGGTCTCTGATGGTGAAGCATGCAGAAATCAGTGTACCTCGGTCGCGGAACCTGAAACGTCAGAAGGACTTCATCCCTAAACTCGCGATGACCGCGGAGCCCATAGTCCATCCTTCATCCTAATGGAACCCTTTTTGCGCGCTCATATTGCCCTGGCCCTAACCCAAAATCCCTTTATTGGCACTCATGTAAAGCCTCAGCCGCCCAGGATTGGGTGCACAGCTTCCCGGATGTCTCAGAGGCTCAGCAGGTCGCCCGGGGGGTTTGGTTCGGTGGGTCCCTCGGCAGAAGCGTTGGAAGGGGGGGAGGTGAGGCTTCGTTACGAGAACCCGTATAGGTTCCTTTTAACGAGAGTAGGGGGTTGGGTATGCTCTCAGTAATGGCTCCCTATCGTTCCTTTTCTAGACTGCTGGGTGACTACAAGGCTTTGAGGGTTGGTTTTGTGTGGGATAAGGGTCTTATCAAGGGCTCTGGCCGCCTCCCACTTAAAATATAGCATATACTTCCTAAGCTTCTATGTTGAAGTACGTTTTCAAGCTCTAGGGATTATATTGGGCTCTTGTTACTAGTAGACCAAGCCGCAAACTAGACCCAAACCGCAAGCCCAAAAGCTCGGCCCTAGCATAGGACCCTGAACTCCCTAAACGCCGACACTGAGCGAGGCCGACAACTAAAGCTCCAAGAGCTAACACTCCGGTACACCACCCCAAAGGACCCTACACCCCAAAAATCTTAAAATCCAGTGCAAAACCCAAACAACCCTCAACCCTAAACCCTGTCGAAACCCAAACAAACACCCTAAACCCTAAACCCAAACAGTCACCCTAAGACCCACGAGACAAGGAAGATCGAGGAAGTCCTGGAGAGAGCCGCGGCCTGCGAGCGCGAGGAGCCGCCTTTGCGCATCATGCTCGGCTACGCAGCGTGGTGGCCTGGCTCCTGCTTGGTGATCTTTCGGCTCTCGGGCTTTAGGGGTTTAGGGTGCATAGGGGCTTAGGGTTTAGGGGTTTAGGATTTATAGGGGCCTAGGGATAAGGGTCAGGCTTTCTTTCGGGGCTCGTACTAGGTCATGAAGTGTATAGCCAGCATACGGCTGGGCACAATGCTACTGTTTTTCTGTCACTTTCCAGGCCGACTTCCCAAGCCCGGATGCAGAAAGGGGCTTAGGGGTTTAGATGTTTATAGGGCTTTTAGGGCGAGGACTCTAGGGTTTAGGCAGGGCTTAGGTCCCGGCTTAGGTTATGCGAGGTGATTATTCAAGGCTTTAGGGTCTACAGCGGGGGTGGTTGGCTACGGGATGCCATCGTGCAGCTCTATGGGGTTTAGTCGCCAGGCGCCCGTTCAACTAGCAAGGAGCTCAGCAATAGCTCAAATGCTGCAACTTGAGGCAAGGGAACTGCGGCCTATGCAAAAATACAGTCCCGCAGCGAATTTTGTTGCTTTCAGGCGGACCCAGACGCTTCCCTAACTCCGGTGGCCACCAGTCATGGCGTTCCGCGCCCTTGCCCTTGCGGCTCTCCTCCAGGGAGTCGCAGGAATCGAGCTCACAGAAGCGAATTGGGACGCGGAGACGGCGGGGAAGAGCGTCTTCATCAAGTTCCTGGCTCCTTGGTGAGGCCACTGCAAGAAGCTGAAGCCCGATTGGGACAAACTGACGCTAGGTCCTTCTTGAACATGATTCTCCAAAGTTCGAGGATTTTCCTAAGTTTGTATGAAAAAGCGAAAATTGATAGGTTCACAAGAGCTTCCAAGAACAGCACAGGATGGATGAGTTCAGCGGCAGCCCGGGATCCCTCGTTGCGGACGTCGACTGCACAACGGAGGGCCAGTCTTTGTGCACCAAGTTTGGAATCCAGGGCTATCCCACCATCAAGTACGGCGAGCCTGGTGACATGAAGGACTACCAGGGTGGCCGAGACTTCGACACTTTGAAGAAGTTCGCAGAGGAGAACTTGGGGCCCACTTGCGGTCCGGCGAACATGGACCTTTGCAGCCCGGAGATGAAGAAGAAGATCGAGGGATACTTGGCAATGTCTCCGGACCGTCTTGAGGGCAAGATCCGCAACTCCATCCGCATCGTGGAGGAGGAGGTGCCCATCATGAAGAAAGTGATGGCGCACATGAAGAAGGCCAAGAGCGAACTTTAAGGCAGTGAAAGCCGCTTGTAGCAGCGGGTTTTGTTTCACTGGCCACGGTTGCCCGTTGAGCCAAGATGCAGCTTCTTGATTGGGAGGGTCGGGAGTAAGGATGCGTTGGAATTGGAGTCTTAGATTTTGAGGGCATACAGCGCACATGGCTGTGGGCTATTGCAGTCAAGGCATTTTGACCCCGCACAAGCTGCTGCGATACGAAAATCACAGTGAAAATCTGTTGTTCCGATGAAAGCATTTAGCTTCCAGGGGGTGTTCTCCCACTGGCTGGCGAGTGAGGTTCCCTGCCACTTAGTGACGCCACATTCCTTGCCCTGTGCACGGGAAGTGGCTGAGACATTGGCAGGGCTCCTTGTGCCAATCAGGGGTAGCCTCTCGCAACATGGAAGAGACCAGATCTGGGGAAACCCAGGGCATGTGCCAGAAAAAACTTGTGCTGTGATTGTTCATAGAAATATATGGAGGTGAGGGAGGTGCCGGTACCAAGCCGAAGCCAGTGTGTTGTAAGAGCCGCGGTGGGGTTGTGTTCCATGTCGCTGAAACCTTCAACCCCAGAGTACTCAGAGGTCAACGCAACAGCTGCAGATCGAGCTTGAATGCGGAGTGTGGTGCCGCGCCAGAGCGCCACAAGACGACGTTCCGCTCAAAGGCAAGGGAGGGAAGCGGCAGAGATCGGGTTTGCTGGACTGCTAGACTCAAGTTCACAGAGCTCAAAAGATTCCTAAGCGGATGCAACGCTCTTCGGCCAGAGGGGTTGCGAGCTTTTGGAGGGAGGGGAAGAGCTCGTGTTTGTGCATGTTTCGTGGTTTGGCGGTTCCTGGCTTAGTTGCCTTGGAAGTTCTACGCATCAGCGGTGGGTCTTTAACCCAATGTAGCTTGTTTGTCAATGTGCCGGCGGTGTGCATCGCTGTCACTGTTTTCGCCGACATGTGCCAGACAGAATCCTGCAGGGTGGTTGCAGGATGTTTAGTGGCAGTGCTTCCGGTTTGAGTTCTTGGACGGGCAGAACCGCTGTGAAGGAGGGGAAGACGAATCCAGTGTCTCTGCGAAGCGAGCCGGCTGCATGGATTCGCGAGAGGCGGAGTGGTATGACGAAAGCAGAACTTTTCATCCTAGCATTCTGGTAATTACAGTGGTTCATCTCGTGAAATCAGATTCGGCGTTCACTGTCACCTATACGAGTCTACGATCCTAAGAGAGACATTCGCAAAACGGCATGTTGAAGACACCTTAGACTTGTACAGTTTGGAGACAATCCTGTTGCTCCTGTTCGTGTGCTTGAACCACCACAGTGAGCCAGCCGGCGAACACATAAACCCTAAACCCCTACACCCCTGAACCTTGCCTTCGGAGTTTGAGGATCATGGCTCGAAGGATTCTTGTAAGCTGGTTATGGGCTCCAAGAGGCACTGAAACCCAAAAACCCTTCGCTCCGGGTATGGTAGCAGACTTAGGCCCAGATGTACCCATGCCAGCTTGTGATTTACCCAGGCTATGTTTCGACGAAGACGGTGCAGAGGCTTGGAGAACAGCCCCCGTCTCAAGCTTCGGATGAGCACAACTCCTTATCGTAAATAATTGTGATCTCGCGCGAGGTTGAAGGAACCAAAAGTCTTGGAACCCAAGGCACTGTTTCAATCCGGCCAAGATCTTCTGGCTCAGTTCCCTCGAGCACCAGGCCTGCTAGCATGAAGGATGTGCGTGGCATCGGCGCGGTGCTGGGTGCCGCTTCCAGCAGCCCTGCATTGTCATGGACCAGGTGTCGATGCACGCATCCGTGGCCACATGAAGCGGTTTGAGCAGCAAAACCGCTCAAAAAGCTGAGAGCACGTGCTCGGTGAGTTTCGGTGACTCGGTAGCCACTGTTCTCCACATCCGGCAGGCAAGTGGCGTTCGGGATTGTTTCAGTGCGGCTGTTGGTGCTGCGAAGCACGGCCTGCGAATGAACAGCAGTGATTGGAAATCGTCCTAGAAATTGCTGAGTCCAACATCCATCAACCTTCGATACGAACACCCGATAAGCCTAAACACGCCCCTGTACACCAACAGTGCAGCAGCCTGGACGTCATGGCCGTTTCACAGAATCTGACAGGTGACTTTCAATACGAATCCAGGCCCGAACTCCGGCCTCTGTGCTCTACTGTAGAGTCTGAGATAGAGCTTGTTTTATGGGAAAAATATTATATAGCATAAGCTGGGGATCCTACATCCGAAAGCAGTGGAGCCTTGGACAATGTCCGAAGCTCTGCGCTGAGCGCACACGTCAGATGAGATGGTGGCCACGCTTCGCTGATGGTTTTCTTACGCTCTCAAAGAAAGTCATGCCCGTGACGTGGGGGCTGAATACGGCGGTCGTGATTCAAAGTTTCTGTACGACGCTTCGTGCTCCAACCACTTGCCGTGAGGAGTGGAGCCTTAAAATTGGGTTCTTGCATTCAATCGTCGGTGATAATTCTCATTGTTCTGTTGTTGCCTGCTGACTTTTTGGAGGATGTTTCGCTTCGCTGCGATGCTCTCGCCTGTTCCGGCTGGCTCAAGCTGCAAACATCACCATGATGACGGCTGGAATGCCCTTGAAAATATATTATGTCTGTAAGCTCCCACTGTATGGGGATGTAAGCTGTGGAAATGCCGTGCAGCTTCCCAAGAATCGGGAGAAAGTCGTCCTCGAAGCTGCGAGCATCAGTTTGCAGATGGAAGCGTCAAATGTACAAGCGACATGGCCAAGTCAAGGACACTTGGAGCTGCAAGCCTTCATGGGCTCCACACAACATAGCTGTCAGAACTTGTCCTAGACGGGCCTTTCCGCGAGCAGGTCTGCTAAGTCTGCTTGTTTCCAGGCAGTGACGCGAGCTTTGAGCCATGGAAACGAAAGTACCAGCTGTGGTTGTGGCAATCCTTGCATGTCTTGAGCAGACTCGGACTCGCGCAGGTTGATTGTCCCCAGGGTTGCCATCATGTGTGGTGTCTGTGGTTCGTTACCGTAGTGAGAAACGGCACTCATGCATCTATCGTTCTGCTTTCTGGCTCGATATGCTTGCCGGTGGCGAGTCGGAATCCTGAACAGGTCACTTGGGCTTGGGGGGTGGGGTCCGGGTCCGAAGCCTTGAAGGCATACAGATAGCCGGGCTTCTTTTGAGTTTTGTAAAGCTCCAGATGTCCGCCGAATCCGACCTGTCTTGTCGATCCGAGAGCTTGGACCGAAACCCACGAAAAACTCGAGGCTACCGAGCCCTGATTCCAAGATCCTCAAGCCTAAACCCCTTTGAGCCCCGAGGCCAAAAACCAAAACCTCCCTCCAAGCCCTGCCAGGTCGGAGGAGCCGGCCTCGTGGGCCGCTATGTCCTCAAACGCTGGAAGCAGAAGATGGAGGCACCTCCCGACTCCCGGCTTCGGTGCCCCCGGAGCATGGACTCGGCTTCTAGTGCGGATCGTACCTTTTCATTATCTTGGGTGGATGGGTTTTCGGATGGATGGCAGGAAGTAAGTAGTATTCACACCGAATGTTCTGGGCCTTTTCCATAACCTGCTTGGCTCTATGCCAGGGGTCGTTCGTTGCACCACTGCCAGGACGTTTGAAAGGTGCTTGGATGTCCTGCAATCCTGGAAGATTTGAATGGTCGTGTGTTGTGTTTAGGTGGTTTGTTCGTAGCCTCATGCCTCGGCAGCACTTGGTCCCAAAGCTGCAGCTGCGTTGGTTCAAGCGGAAGTTCCAGGGGTCTGTCTTCGTGACGCTTGAAGCATGGAGGGCCGCCAAAGCACAGGACAGGGACAGAAGACTTAAGCTGCTTCTGTCCACATGAGCAAAGTACACGTTCCGCTTTGTCTTTGGAGTCTCGGAAAATAGGTGGGGAAGGTAGGGTCTGCTTGTCTTGGGAGGGCTCATGGAATTTCAGCTTGCTGGTTCATGTGGAATGCTTCCCAGGAATCGCAGGGCTTTGGTGACTGTTTTACGAGTGGCAGGAAGCCCACTTTCACCGCTCGCCTCGCACTACGAGATAGACGTCGCTTGTCTTCATGAGGGACCGAGGTCTGGTCTGGTTCGCCAGAGTTTGCAGAAGCCATCTCAAAGCATGCCAAGCCAAATGCGGGTAAGACCAATATGGCCTACTTGCATGTGCCTAACAGCTCTCTCCATCCCGATCCCAGAGTCAAGTATCATTGGATTCGGAAATCCAGCGTCTCCGACGCGCATGTTTTGCTGTGTTCGGAAACGATGCACCAGCAGTCGTTCAGCTTTTGGAGACAGGGTCCGTGGCTTGGAGCCTGGAATGCCAAGGATTGGGTGTGGCACAAAGACGACAGGGAGGGCATCTGGCCGGCATGCGACAGGTTCTGGTAGAATTACGGGATCTCGTGTGGAGCATCAAGACACGCATCATGCATGTGTGGGTCAAAACAGCACAGTGTAACCAATTAGAGAGCCTAAGCGAAATGGTGGTCCTGAGCCCCTGGTGCTCCATCGGGGAGCTTTTGACGTACAAACTTGCCGAGAACGGCCGCACGGCTGCATAAAGTCGAAGCCGCAGACAAGGCTACCGCCGTTCTCGTGTCCTGAGTGTGGACAACTTTCGGGACGCTCGGCATGCAATTCGTGAGAATGGTTCACATGGAGACGGCTACGGCTTGCCGTTCCAGACCATTGCGATGTGAGGCATGCTCAAAAACCGCCAGTTTCGAATGCCCTAAACCCGATGTCTTCAAAACCCTAAGCGGCCTTAATTAAGGGACCCTGGACTTTAAGGGACCCTAAGTGTTCACATCTTGAGGACTCCATCATCGTGGCTGCTGATGGCCCGAGCGGTGCATCTCAGGCCGCTCCTTGCCTCAGCCTTCGAATTGGGTCCTTCTCTGAACTGACGAAGGAAAGCGTCTTTGTGTAGGTTTAGGGCTCTACTCGTAGGGGTTAAGGGTTTAGGGCTCAGGGTTGAGGTTCTTAAGCCTGGAAAGCTTCGGGAAGGTTGATGATCTTCTATCTTGAAGGCATGTGCAAACTGAGGTTCGCAAGAGCGATGTCCGCCCCTTCTACGATGTGGGCGAGGACTCGAGTGCCTGCTGCCCAAACGCGGTCTGTCTCCATGATGGGAAAGCAAAACTCAACAGAGTTTGCACAGGAGGGGTGACTTACTAACTGGGTCAGGACAAGGCTGCGCCCGTTTGCAGGAGCGAACTTTCCAGGACTGCACGGAGATGGTGCACTTGGACGATGCAAACATCTTGGACAACTTGCGCCGCTGGGTCCAAGGGTGCGGGCACTACTTTGCACACGTAGGTCGAACACTTTGCTCTTGCTACGAGGTGCAACGCTAGGGTATATGGTGCTGTACAGAAGTTATAACATATTATCTGATGCATTTTAAGTACAATATCTTACATTCTATGCAGTAGACGAAAGACTGACTGCGCTGTCTGTATCAGGGCTACAAGCTAACTGTAGTCATAAGGCGAAAGACAGACAGTCAGACGGCTCTTTGAGGGACCTCCGTGGCTCAGGCGAGGGATGCAAGCTTCAATAGCGGGGTTTTCTCGCACTTTCGTGAGGCAAGAGGTACTCCAAAGACGAGATCTACACCTACACGGCAAACGTCCTACTCGCGGTGAACCCTTACAAGAGCGTTCGTCGCCTCTATTCTCGCGAGGACCGGTTTAGGGTTCAGGGTGGTGGATTTCAACACCCTGGGCGTACGACTCACGCTGAACTGAGCATTAGCAACTGCTGCCCCTGCTTTGCACTTCTTGCAGGAGATGGAGAAGTACTGGGGCAAAAACCCAGGCACCCTCCCGCCCCATCCATATGCATCTTGCATGCAATTGGACAGCTGGACGCAATGGAAGAGTTGCCAGAGCGGGCTTTTGTCGTCAGCAGCATCCCTTACGCCAGTTCTTACCCATTCTCAGCCTGTTGATGCCTGTTGTCCATCTACCACCGTCTCCAGCACTTTCAGGCCATTGCGGACGTGGCATATCGACGCATGCAGCGGCATCGCAAGAACCAGGCCCATGACTCATGAGTTGCTGGAAATTCAGCATGGCGCTTAAGCCAATGCTTTCTACCTCTCTCAGGAAGCCCACAAGAAACTGCAGCCACTTCAACAACAGCTGTGGTGTCTTCAGCTCATGTTGTGCCGGAGAATGCCAGGGTTTTGCTGCACAGGCATACAAACCAAAAGCACCCGTGCAAGTGGAAAAGACGGAAGTATGCCAAAGATCAGCCAAAGACTCTATTTGCTCGGTAGTGTCACCAGTTCTGTCGTGTCTAAAGACGCAATGATACCATCGAAACGGAAAAAGTGGGTGATAGTACCAACAGTCATAATGAGTGTAGAAGTTGTAGCAAGAGTACTTTCCACGCACCAGATGTAGTCACAACAATGGATCCCGCTTGAACCCACGAAGCCCTGCCAGCGGAGAGGCTTTGGTGATCAGCGGTGAGAGCGGTGCGGGAAAGACGGAGACAGCCAAGATCACGATGCACTACCTCACCTCCATGTCCAGGAGAAGTTTATAGGGTTTAACGTCAGACGGGAAGGCGTTTGCGTACAGCTGCTCACCATGATCTGGGCGGTTGACAACAAACCTATGGCTTGCCGCGGTTCCTGCAGTAGGGCAGGAAAAAGAAACACGCAGCATCACCGGACAGGCCACCCTTCCACCCAAGATTAAAGCCAAGTCGCAACATCTAGCGAAGCTGTGCTGATCCTCGAACACGAGAGGCGTGGCGAGGATCAGCATCCATTTGACTCTCGGGTTCAACAGTTTTCCTTTGCTCACAGCTTTCACGCTTATTATTGAAGGACTGATGTGGAGCATGGAAACAAGATCCAAGAGAAGATTGTCAAGGCGAACCCCATCTTGGAATCGTTCGGCAACGCCTCCACGGTGATGAACATGAATTCTTCTCGCTTTGGAAAGTGTCTGGACTGTTTAGAAAATGAAACGTTTGAGGGTTTTGCTGCTCTTTCTCAGGTGTTTCACAGATTCTGGAGCAACCAAGGTACAACGAAATGATGTTCGACCGAGTCGGTTCACTGGTGGGTGCGGGGATCAAGACCTTCCTCTTGGAAAGTTCTCGTGTTGTCTTTCAACAGCATGGCGAAAAGAATTACCACGTCTTCTACGAGCTGCTGGCTGGCATGGATGAGGAGTACTTGGACAAGCTGATGCTCGACCGCGAAGAGAGCTACAAGCTGCTACACTCCAGTGGAACACCTCCTTTGCAAGAAGGCTCGCCTGAGACACAGCGACTGGCTAAGCAGTTCGAGGAGCTCAAGTATGCGCTGTCTCTCTTTATCAGTGAGGAGGAGCAGGACCCCTTGAGACATGCCATGGCTGTCGCGGAAATGCTAACTCTTTACTTAGGAACCCCCGCCTTCTCGCGGGGTGGCCTTGAAAGCGATGTCTCTTCATGATAATCTGGCACTCGATCTACAGCTCCTTGAGCCATAGTTTATATGAAAGGCCAACTGCATAGCTAAATATGCCTTCGCGAAAGTTTCGCGATGGTGCGGCGATGCGTATTGACTTTCTTGGCGAAAGTTATCTTTTTAGCCTATTTGCTCTAGTATGCCATATAGTACTACTATGACTACTACTGCGACTATTGATACTGTTTCCATTACCATTACTACTACTTTTAATTGTGCCGGGAATGTAGAACAATTATTTGATGGAACCATCTTGGCAATCTTGCTCGGGGGGGGCAAGATAAGCAGGCAATTTTTGTCATCTTGCCCCGCTTGCTCACGGACTAGTTTACCGGTTGGAGACCAAGATTGCAAGATTGCTGGCAATCTTGCCCCACTTGCTCACGGACTAGTTTACTTTTGGAGACCAGCATTGCAAGATTGCTTGGCAATCTTGCTCCCCCCTTGCAATCTTGGTCTCAAACAACTGTTCTACATTCCCTGCACACTGTACTTCTGATACCTACTACTACTACTACTACTACTACTACTACGACTACTACTACTACTACTACTACTACTACTACTACTACTCTTGCTGCTGCTGCTGCTACCATTACTTTTACTATCAGTATTAGAATATTGCTGTTACTATTACTCTTACTGGTAGTGTTACAGTCACTGTTGCTGTTACTGCTATTGCGACTGTAGCTGTTACTGCTACCCACTACTACTACTACTACTACTACTACTACTGCTACTGCTACTGCTACTGCTACTGCTACGACTACGACTACGACTGCGACTACGACTACTACTACTACTACTACTACTGCTACTACTACTACTAC